AGTCCTTACAGAATGTTAATTGCCAACCAATTATCAGACGATTGTGTTTTAGTTCTTTTAGCCTCAATGAAGAGGACTTTTACTGGTGGCTTTGTTTAGGAGAATTAAGCAAAGAATGGGTAAATAAAGAGCATTTGTAGTATTTCATTAAGCAAAATGAAAGACTTACAAAGATTTGAATCAGCCTCGTAGAGGTTTACAGCAACAAGCTACTTGAAAACTACTTTTATGAACGAAATGCAGTGCAGGAATTTAAAGTACAGAAATGTAAAGAACAAGAAATATAAAACTGGAAAAGAAATAATGTAGAATAAAACTGATTTTTTTGATCGAGTCTAGGGGTTTTTCTGGGGTCCTCTCTGCTATTTATACTTCTCAAGGAGAACCATCAAACTGCACTTCTAACCGTCGAACTGCTCCTCTATGATTGCTGATCATGTTGCCTTAGAGTTAGCTCCACTATCCCAATACCTGCAGTTAGTCTTCCCTCCTGATTTTGAATTCAAATGTGAGTAACCGTTAAAGCCACATCACTTTGCATCTCTTTGTTGATTCATTACTACGCAGGTCTTATGAAAACCAATATTAATTGCCACGTGTACGATTACGATCGAAGATTTGAGTTGCTTTCCCATATTACCCTCAATCTGCCACGTGTTGAATTATAATTGGCTTATACAAAATATGTAGCCAACACGATCATCTTGATTTTTTACATGAATATTATATCTAATGAATCCTAAAAAATAAACAATTTGAATCATCGAAATCCGTCCAAAAATAGACTTACCAAGTCCAAACACTCTCTCATGTTGAGGGACATTGTGTTACAACTGCGTGTGATGCACATCAATGACTGTTGTGCGACCTGTGAGACTCGTTTTGAATCTTATTTTGATGAACTGAACCGTTCAAATTTTAGGAAACATTGAGAAGAATATACCTAGTACATAAAATCAAGTTGATTGAATATCAATATCCTGTTCATTGAAGCACATTTGCATATGTAAAAAAATAAATATGTATCAAACTGAATACAAATGTGACTTGATGAAGGAGTTATTGATATCTGATCAACTTAATTTTTTATAAGCATATTTGTTTCGATGTTTTCTAAAATTCAAATAGTTCAAATTATCAAAATAAGATCCAAAATAAATCTCATAACCTGTACAACAATCACACCAAATCACATGTTGAGATGGCCATTTCAAAAAAATGCAATATTGGAGTTCCACCAACCTCGTCCTTTTTTTATTTTATTTTATTTACAATAATCGATGTTGTGCATCAGGCACAACAATGACACCAAATCCCATGTTGAGATAGCCAACATAGAATAAACTCAACATTTTCAATAAGAGGGTTTAGGAAAGTTGATAAAAAGTTAATTTTTTGACTTTTTTATTTTGTCTTTTTGTAGGTAAGTTATGTGAAAGGTGATTTGACTCAAAATAGATAAAAAGCTGGAAGCTGGTTTTTTACCAACTTCCCAAAAGACTCTTATAAATCGAATGATAGATTAGCGAATTGATAAATTGACAAATTGTAGTTTGAGCAGTTTTGGATGGATTGACAGATTAAAAAATATTCAAACCAAT